ACTTTGTTTCGTTGAGAGACTGTGCTTTGTTTCGTTGAGAGACTGTGCTTTATTTCGTTAAGAGACTGTGTTTGGTTTCGTTGAGAGACTGTGATTTGTTTTGTTGAGAGACTGTGCTTTGTTTCTTTGAGAGACTGTGATTTGTTTCGTTTAGAATAATGGCTTGTTTCGTTGAGAGACTGTGCTGTATTTCGTTGAGAGACTGTGTTTGGTTTCGTTGAGAGACTGTGCTTTGTTTCGTTGAGCGACTGTGCTTTGTTTCGTTGATAGACTTTGTTTGTTTCGTTGAGAGACTGTGCTTTGTTTCGTTGAGAGACTGTGCTTTATTTTGTTGAGAGACTGTGTTTGGTTTCGTTGAGAGACTGTGATTTGTTTTGTTGAGAGACTGTCCTTAGTTTCGTTGAGAGACTATGATTTGTTTCGTTCAGAATATTGGCTTGTTTAGTTGAGAGACTGTGCTGTATTTCGTTGAGAGACTGTGTTTGGTTTCGTTGAGAGACTGTGCTTTGTTTCGTTGACAGACTGTGTGTGGTTTCGTTGAGAGACTGTGATTTGTTTCGTTGAGAGACTGTGCTTTGTTTCGTTGATTGACTTTGTTTGTTTCGTTGAGAGACTGTGATTTGTTTCGTTGAAAGACTGTGCTTTGTTTCGTTGAGAGATTGTGTTTGTTTCGTTGCGAGACTGCTTTGTTTCGTTGGAGGGACTGTGCTTTGTTTAGTTGAGAGACTATGCTTTGGTTTCGTTGAGAGACTGTGCTTTGTTTCGTTAGCTTTTAGAGACTTAATTGTTCAAGTGAGAGACTGCTTTCTACTGTTGAGAGACTGTGCTTACAATTGTTAAGAGATTGTGCTTTTTTTTCGTTGAGCGACTTTGTTTTGGTAGCTTTTAGAGGCTGAATTGTTCATTTGAAAGACAGCTTTCTACAAAGTGAGAATGATTGCTGTCAATTTTTGAGAGGCTGTGCATTTTACATGCCTGAATTGTTTATTTGAGACTAGTAAATTGTGCTATCTACCGTTGAGAGATATTGCTTTATTTCTCTGAGATACTTTGATTTCGTTGAAATTCTTTGCTTTCTTCTGTCGTTTTTAGTGATACAAACGCTTTATATGATAGTGTGAGCGGTACAAAGAAAGGTAACTCTAGTTACACACAGTGGTTGACTCTGGTAGTGGACCATCAGTCCCCGAGGTTGCTCTTCCCTTGCAGCTTGAAACAATTTAGAATAAAATCTCTGTCCTAGCTAAAAGTTGGACGTTAAAGTGATAAAAGGTTTACAGGCAACCAGGCAATGTCAACATGCTAATGCTTTATGTTTAGGTCAAGATAATTACACCAGGACACTGAGCACCGAAGAGGTTTTGACAATTTTCCAATGACAACACTCTTGCATCAGGCGACTCCCAGTCTTTTGTTTAGTACACATTGGTTTGGTAATTATCAAATGAAATCATAAAATCCGTGTATACCTAAACATCCCCCCCCCCCCCCCCCCCCCCCTCGTCTTATCTATTGCAGAAGATTATTTCGTTCCGTGTGTTAAACAATTCTCTACCATATTAAGTTTAGGCTCTGATTAAACTTTTATTGAGTTCGCCTATAAATCATTTTTTCGATCTTTGCGTTACAAATTATATCTTAAAATTTATCTTTTTATTTAAACAGGAAAATTCCCTAGAGGTTCTTGTGTGGATACACCGTTAAAGAATTACGCTTTATCTATATCACTGAAATAATGCTGTTATCACTGTTTATTAGATATCTTATATAATATATTGGGTATCATAAAAAGATGCAATTATCTCATAAAAGGTATCACATATCGTATCTAATCTTGATTTCCTTTATATATTACATAAGATAGATGATGTTTATATACAATATGTACTGTAATATAACACTTTTGTGGTTAATAGAATAAGTTTCCATATTGCAGATGTTATTATTTCTCTCATTTCACTGCGTGTTTAAGAGAACTGTCCCGGGGAAGAAAGGGATGTATGAAATGCCCCCCCCCCCCCCCCCCCCCCCCCATTAGACAGACATTCCTAGGGTAAAGAAGAGGGAATTTGTATGATGTCACGTCAACAATGTATTGACACCGCGTCAGCAATAGTACATCACCGAAGATATCTCGGATTTGCTGAAATTAAAAAAAACCCGCCTGTATTTGAGATGGAAGAAATTTAATCATTCAAAACTGAAGCACTTGGACAGAAAAATGTCACCCTCAGGGGTTAAATTCTTAAATGTCTGCCCTTGGTGAAGACTCGGTGTAGACATTAAAGAATCTTACCCCCTTGATTGATACTTTTTTGTCTTAGCCCAAAGGTTGTGAAAGATTATATTAATCCTACACCTAAATTCACGTGCATTACGTCTCAATGGTATAATAATGACGTGACCTCACGTGAACATTCCGGTGCGGCGATGCGGAAACTGCAATGCTGTTATTGTGGTTTCTGAACTAATTTTGGTGACCGGAATGAGAGAAAAATACTCTTTCGTGCATAGGAGTGTATGATAGGGAAATACCAACATCGGGGTTTTTAAATAGGGGGCAAAACTCTCCGAACACCTCGGGTTTACCCAATTGTAAAGCCCCTCTGTTTGAATTTCCTTATCCTTCACGCCTTGGCATGAAAGAGTCATATACTCATGTAGTTTATGGATCGCGCAAAGTCTGTTGTGTTCTTGGTTATTTCTTTATGTTTTTCTTTGTAACTTGTCTCTTTGATTATTTCATTTAACATTGACAAAATTAACATTCTTATTCAGCCAATACAATGATAAATTGGATATTCTACCACGTTTGCGATGTAACGCAAAAGAACTTCGTCAATATTGTGGTTTCTGAACTAATTTTGGTGACCGGAATGAGAGAAAAATACTCTTTCGTGCATAGGAGTGTTTGATAGGGAAATACCAACCTCGGGTTTTTTTTAATCGGGGGCAAAACTCTCCGAACACCTCGGGTTTACCCAATTTGAAAGCCCCTCTGTTTGAATTTACTCATGTGGTTTATGGATCGCGCAAAGTCTATTGTGTTCTTGATTATTTCTTTATGTTTTTCTTTGTAACTTGTCTCTTTGATTATTTCATTTAACATAGACAAAATTAACATTCTTATTCAGCCAATACAATGATAATTGGATATTCTACCACGTTTGCGATGTAACGCAAAAGATCTTCGTCAATATTGTTGCAACATTTTGTCACCATAATACAAGCACATAGACATCCTGGATACTCCAGGGGTTATGCTCAAACGATATTGAGGATGGCACATAGGTTGCTTATTTCTTAAATAATTGGCACAGTAAGGGTTTTAACTTCTGTGAGTTTACATGTAAACATTTTATTTTCAAAGACGAAGTCTTAATAGTTTGTTAATGATTTCAAAGATTCTTTTGATTAGCAAAGATATTTATATGGCTTATTATGTGGTAGCTGGAGTAGCCTCCCTTCGTACGGAATATAAAGGAAGAATAAAATCAAACATCATACTAAAGAAAAGTCACTATTTCAGATTAAATAACAACAATATCGGAGTTCGGATGTATTCACTATTTAACTAAATTCATTAGCAAGTTATCTTTGACTACGTTGTTCTAATATTTAAACAATTGTTTATCCGAATTCAGCGCTAAAGACAAAATAGAAGGCAAGAGAGATGATAGAAAACTGTAAAAATCTCCGTAGATGTCTTATTCAGTAGGTTCCTTGCCGCCCAAGTCATTCGAAATCCCATTGCGTATATTTCTTTTATAAGAAAGAATTTTGATATCCAAAAGCCTTCTGAATTTGCTACTGGTATGCAGGAGAAGTGAAATTCCACCTGAAGCTGTTTTATGCCGTTCAGAGATTTAGAGGACAACATTTCCGGTATAACATGCCATTCCCAATTTTCTATGTCCATCTTGATGACATCTGGAAGGACATGTATAAAAATGGACATTGAAGTTAAGACGAAAATGCTCCATTAAAATAAAAAAATAATGACCATAAACAATGTTATATCTATTTACCGTTTCATTCAATTCACATATAACACTGAGACCTCGCCAAGTTTATACATACACAAACTGTAAATCTACTGTACAAGCACTGCTTATTTAATCACGTGAAAACCATGTTTTACTGTTTACAAATATATCTTTCAAAGTTTTATGGATTTGTCGAACCAGTAGCTAAACTTATTTTTTATCCTTAGATTTTCATTTTTTTTCTTCTCATTTCTACCATTCTCGATATCCAGGGGTTACGCTCAGAGCGAAAGTGAGCGTAACCCCTGGATATCGAAGATGCATTTCTACATGTTTAACTATCAGAATCGATCAGCGTTTTACACCCATTGTCTGTTTAACCCACTCTCCAGGTCTGTCTGTATAACTCCTCTATGTTTGAATAGGAGTTAATACAACCTAAACGAGATTTAAATGTTGGTAACAAAGTAAACGAGATCTCAATGGTCATCATTTATGCATGACATCCAATGATTTGCGCTTGCATTGTGATGCCATACATGGCAATTGTTCAAAACAATACTATTGAAAATTAACTAACTAGAGCTATATAAACAACTCGTCGGTAAACCGCAATATAACAAATGCTTCTCAAGTATTTTGAAGATTATTTTTTACTGCTCCCTGACTTTTATTTTTTTTTTATTTTTTTTTATTTCTGTTATTTTTTAACTGCGGCGCTAACCCTAATTATAAGTAATAAATCTATCGAAAATTTTAGTGTTTTTTGTACAAATATCAACAATCTATCGACCGATCCTATTAATTTGACATGGCCTGGGTGTCCCTGCGACCCTACGTTTGCTATGAAAGTTACCGCGATTAAAATCTAAAACATACCCTTAATACAGATTATCATTACGGCAACCTTATCTCTTTTCAGTGACATTTACGTTTTAGTAACTGTGTAAAAAATGAGAAGATACAGAAGTGCCCCTTAAGCTTTGTCTGAATAAAGGAATACATACGGAAGGATCAAATCAAATATCGTTTATTAACGTAATTCAGTAAGGTGAAAGCAAAACAATATCTGAAACAAAGAATACCCATCAGGTGAAGTACATCTACTTATAGTAATGAGTTAGAGTTAAACCGATAATAGAATACTGCACACTTCTGTATTATTTTTACATTCGTAAAAGGAATAACACATTTTTATTTTGGAATTAAAGGGAAGTCACTCGTATCTTATAACACCAGAATAAAAATATGTTTGATATATGGTATCATTATTACCGAATTCATTTCCTAGTTCAACATCAGAAAATGCGCTTTTATTTCAATAAAATATTTTGGTTTCCAATTAATTTGTATTGATATGTCTCGCACATTATGTACAAAGTTGTAAACATGTAATATTTAATAATCGACACTTATGTTAATATTGTTGACACATAAACATGATTTTATGTTTATCAGTGTAAAAGCACGCACTGACTAAATGCTATACATTACATTAACGAGGAGGGTTCGTATCAATATCAAAACTCAACCAATCAGTTATTGTTTAAGTGTTATATAGTATCACACAACAAATACATATAAATGGGGAAAAATCATGAAAGTATTTTTTCTATGCAGGTATGACTAATCATACACAATATAACGCGGTAAAATACAATACACTAAAACTATCCGTTTATAGATAACAAACTATTAAAAATGGCACGCAAAAGTTCTTTGTTACAACTTTTTTGGAGGATGTTTTAAGCAAGATAAACACCACTGGTCGCAAGCACACGTGATTAGATCGCATGTGGAAGAATGATTGGGTCTTCACTGTGTCTTTTCTTTTGTTGTTGTTTCCTGTCAGTGTTTCCTGTTCGTGTCGGCCTGTACAATGTAACTGCTATGATAGAAGCATAAAAGAATCAAACAAGCTTTTTTATGTATGACGATTAGGAAACTAGCTTCATTAAGTCAGACATATTAGGCATATCACACAGTCAAGGCACAAGGACCACCACAGCGACAAGACAAATGGCAAAATACACCGAAGCGTCAACACAATTAAAACGACACTGACAACACACAAGGACACAGCGTTAATTGACCATGTTGCAAATGACCCCTCGTCAACGCCCAAGGCCACATTTCGTTACATCACAATGGCCATTTACACAACAGAACATCACTATCGCTACAAGACAGCAACAATTACAAGAAACATTAAAACAAAAGGAATGACTAAGTTAATTATCTTAATTATCTATACCAAAACCTATAGGCAGAACTTGTTACACAGGTCTACGATAAAAGCAATACGATGAGATGCCAACAGTATAAGTATATGCTGTATCTGTGTAAACCCTATCACATGGCAAACCATATCAACATTTATGAACCCTATTGGTATACTATGAATATGAAAGGCTCGTATAATTTTTAACTATACAATATTTAACTTATATTATGTATGATGTCTCTTAAAATATGCAATATTTATTATATGTTATATAAAATATCTTAAAAAGCATATCTAAATTATGTTTTGAAGTGTAAATGTACTTTATAGATTTATAGAGGATATTTAATGGATTTTTGTTGAATGCTATGTTTATTTCACGGTTATGGCAGAAAAGCAATATTTGTTTTACAAGATTGCGAGGCACGTGTGAATATATCTCTGTTCTGCCAACGAAAACCATTAAATGGTCTATCTATTGCATTTCAGAATAACAATGACGACAATATTTTAGTGGCGTCATACTTGCCAAACTGACTGCGATTTTCAGCACAATAATACTGTTGTGTACTGTTATCTGGTAAAATTTGATACAGAAATGTTATTGATTGTTTAGTTAGATATGTACATCAGTGTATGTAATAAAGAGTTACACAAAACGTATTCTTCAGCAGCTTAAATTGTTACTGAATTGGAATCTTTCGCTTTAAATGCAATGATTATAAAGTTCCGTTCAGACTGATAAATACTTAAATATGAACTAATTGATGTGTATTGTGTTAAAAATATTGTCCAGGTACATGTTTTTTCGAGACCAGAATTGTCCTAATTGATGTGTACCGTGTAACATATTGTGCAGGTACATGTTTGTCGAGACCAGAATTGTCCTAATTGATGTGTATTGTGTTAAATGTTGCCCGGGTGCATGCTTGTCGAGTCCAGAATTGTCCTAATTGATGTGTATTGTGTTAAATGTTGCCCAGGTGCATGTTTGTCGAGACCAGAATTGTCCTAATTGATGTGTATTGTGTTACATGTTGTCCAGGTACATGTTTGTCGAGTCTAAAATTGTCCTAATTGATTTGTATTATGATAAATTTTGTCCCGTTAAATGTTTGCCTAGTCCAAAACTGTCCTCATAAATTTTGTTATGTTGAATTGTCCTGTTGTATGTAATTGCCCCTTTGTATATATAATGTGTCACATATAATCAATCTCGGGTGTTAAATGAAGTATGCTCTTAAATCTACGGGGTTGTATTTTAGATTATATTATATTTTGAATTATATTTTTTTTCTTTCTCTAATGCCAGCAATAGAGAAAAAGTCCTTTTTTTCATAGGAATTTCATGGCTTTGTAAAATTTCACGGGGTTTTAACCGATTTCTCCATGTATTTCAGTCACAGAAGTGTGTCATTAATTCCCAAGTCCCTGTGACGAAATGCGAAAATATAAAAGAGTCACTTCGATTAAGCCCCTGAGCAATATTTTTTTCAAACCAATCAGATAAACTGTTTTACAAAAGAAGTGTTTAAATGGCACCCACTGAACGCACTTATCACTTCAATTAGTAAAAATATACATTTATGCAATACAATGTCGATGATAATTTCGTCAACTGAATGATGATCCTTGGAGAATAATTCCGAATACTGGGAGTACTATTTATGTTTTGAACATCAACACATTGTATGTGCTTTCCTTTTTAAAGTCTTAGCGTAAAGAGTGACCGTCTAGCCACGATGAAACATAGGTCACTCTTATTTATGATAAGCAATGGTTAAAAAGCATATCTCCATTTTCTCACAATCGCCGTATAAACGTCACTTCGAAGCAACCAATGATGTCTTTTCCTGTAACACGAGACCTCCAAACATTCAGTAGGTTCCTTGTCGCCCAAGTCATTCGAAATCCCATTGCGTATATTTCTTTTATAAGAAATAATTTTGATATCCAAAAGCCTTCTGAATCCGCTTCTGGTATGTTGGAGAAGTGAAATTCCACCAGAAACTGTTTTATGCCGTTCAGAGATTTGGATGACAACATTTCCGGTATAACATGCCATTCCCAATCTTCTATGTCCATCTTGATGACATCTGGAAGGACCTGTATAAAACAAATGAACATTGAAGTCAAGAGAACCATGCTTCATAAAATGAAAGAAAACAAATAGTCAGAAACAGTATTATTATAAAGCGTTTCATTCAACTTCATACGTAGAAAAACATTAAAATTACAGTGCACAAGCTGTTAAACCACCGAACGACCAGCATACAAGGCATTGTAAAAGCAAGGTTCGACCACTGTAGAACCACCGTGCTACACAGTAACCCCAATGTAAAAACACTACACACTAAAGTATACCTACTAAACAACATTGTTTTAAAAGTTTTGTACTACCACTGTAAAATCACCATCGCCCCTTGAAAAAGACAAACATGATGAGAACGTTTTGAAACATATAGTGCCAAAATGTTTATAACGTTTCCTGTCGAAAAAAGGATATACAGAAATTAAATTAAACTGTAATAGAGGTGAGGTTTTCGAATTGGCCAATGAACATGTTACTTTTATTAATTAAATAATGGTTTTGTTGTTTGCGATAGCGTTACAAGTTTCAGGAGAGAAAAAAAAAAGGAACATCATCCCGACATCCCTATGATTTAAAATAATCTCCTTCACTGTTTCAAACAAATATGTCATACGAATTAAAATAGTCTGTTTGAAAATGAAATAGAATGCTATTATGTGTCTTAATCAATATTATATCACCTATGTTGAACATTCTGTAAAAGACAATCCCAAACGTTTTTGGGGATTTGTGAAAGGAGAGCGGAAGGAGGGGACTGTCCCGGACTCGGTTTCGGACTGTTCATCGTCGTCTTCCAATAATGTTGAAACAGCAGTTATGTTTAACTCCTTCTTCAAAAGTGTATTCTGTATGGACGACGATTGTGATCTTCCTCAAATATAAGCAAAAAATAAATTTGACTGCCCGCTAAGCACAATTGTTTTGAATTGAACTGATGTTCAGAAGGCACTTACACAAGTAGATGTAAAAAAAGCTTGTGGCTACGACAATATATCTGGCGTAGTTTTTAAAGGGTGTGCTGATGAGTTATGTGTACCACTGTGTAACATTTTCAACCGTTCATTGAACGATGGTATCTTTCCAAGTATTTTTAAAAGGGCTAATGTTATTCCCATTTTTAAATCTGGTAAATGTAATGAACTCTCTAATTACAGACAAGTATCTTTACTACCAATTATATCTAAAATTTTCGAAAAACTGGTTGACGTACATTTTTCCAATTTTATAAATCCGCTTATCTGCGATGAGCATTATTTTTTTTTTTAAATATTTTTTTAATTTTTCAAGATTTGCAGAATATGTACATTATACAGAACATCACATCAACACACATCCACACATTCACACATATCAACTATTGAAATTATCATCATCCTCATCCTCATCCTCATCATCAGATAGCGGATAATAATTTGTGAACCGCTTTGAGACGACCTACGAACTAGAACGAGAGAGAGAGATCGAGATCAGACTGCCAAATTTGAGAAGAAAATAAATAACTGCTGTGAGTATTTGTCAATATTTTGTTTTTTAAAGTACATTTGTTCCTGTATGTAACCATCAAAGAAAGATAGTAATAAGTTGGCTCAGCCTGCATCGTTCACATATCACAAATCTGACTTATACTGTACATGTATACCGGCATCAGCAGTCATTGCTACTTATTCTAATTGAATAGAGACCTGCTTGTAAACATAAATAGGAGGGTTGGAGTAAGCAAGAGAGTAACACCTACTAACTTAATATAAATAGTCATAAGACTCAGGGTTAGATGAGGTCAAGCTCTACTAATTTTAACCATTTTTCCCATTCAGAAGTAAATCTTCTAAGACAATGTTCTCCTTTACCACGAGCAATATATTTCTGAACCTTACAGTTATCGAATTGACTAAAGCAGTCACATTAAGTGACTTATGAAAACATCTGGTTTTGTATATATATTGTTTTATGAACAGAGTAATTTCATTATCAATTCTGGTATAAATTCCAGTTTGGTTGATAAAACCAAAGATCATTGATTCTTTATTTAGTGAGAAAGGAATAGTGAGAGCACTTAAAAGACTTTCAAAATTGCTCAGAATTTTTTGTACTTCCCTGCATTCCCATTAAACGTGGGTAATTGTCTCCCTTTCTATGAAACAAAAAACACAGTGTGGGTTATTTACAAGTCCAATTTTGTATAAATAAGAATTGGTTGTTAAAATATAATGATTAATTCTAAATTGCAAACATAGCAATTTTGTATTTTTTGTTACCCTGAAAGGAATAGCATATATTTTCCCCCAAGTTTCCTGATTATAGTCGAATATAGTCCCCCATTTTGTTTGAGCAGTTATTGATGCATTATTTCTGATAAGTATATTATAGAAGTCTTGAGAACCCTTTTTCTTCTTTAAAATTATTACAAGATGTAACGGTATAATTAGGTATATCACATTTTTATTTGGCAAATTAAGTTGTTTCAGATAATTCTTTATGCTTGTTATCAAGCCATGATATTCTGCATAATTAGTTATTGTACCATGTAGATCACAAAATTCCTTAAAAGACAAGAAAGAGTAGTCTGTGTTGTTTTTCAACAAATCATTAATTATCATAATCCCATTTTTAAACCACTTACGATAAAAAACAACTTAATTCCCAACAGAAATATTTTTGTTATACCTTAAGGGTGTCTTAAGTAGGGCAAAATTCTCATTTTTAAACAGCTCCTCTTTTGCTCTTAATTTATACCATGCCCTAAACACTTCTTTCCAAAACACATTTTTGCAATTTCCTTGAATTGTATTTTAAGTACTCGTTTCCTGAGTTAGCCAAGATATGAGGATTTACACAAGATTTTAAAATGCTTACCCATTTACCTTCTGATTTAAAAAACGTTCTTATCCAACTTATTTTCAGAGCTTCAATAAAAGACATTAAATTAACCATTTTTAGCCCACCTTATTGATAATTTTGAATTATTATGTCTCGTTTAATCTTATCAGTTTTGCTATTCCATAAAAAATTGAAAAGAACAGAATTGAGCTGTTTTATAAAAATTTCAGATGGATAAGGTAAGGAAATAAACAGATGATTCATCTGAGAAATTAATAAAGATTTAATGATATTAATTCTACCAATAGGTGTGAGCAACCTTCTACTCCAGCTCTTAATAAGAGCTTTAAGTTTAACTTTTTTTTTTATCAAAGTTCATTTTAGGTATTTTGTAAAGATCTACATGGAAATCTATCCCAAGAAGAGTAAATTTATTAACTCCCCATCTAAGATTCATATTTGGAAGGAGAACATCATTGCTGTATATTTTACTGCCTATCCAGACAACTTCAGTTTTACCTACATTTACTTTAAGACCAGATATTTTTGCATAAATATTTAGTTCATCAACCGCCCCTTTCAGTGGTTTTTTCAGAACCATCTAATACCAGAGAAGTGTCATCTGCATACTTAGAGTTTAAGATGGGACAGTTATTAACCTTTATACCAGTTATACTCTTATTGTTTCTAAGGCGGATTGCTAATACTTCTTCACATAGTATAAAAATATATGGAGCGATGGGATCTCCTTGACGACAACCACCATTTATTTTGAAAAATGCTGATAAATTACCCCCCTGGTTTATAGCAGAACTTGAATTACAGTGTAAAATTTTAACCCAATTCCTGATATCGTTTCCAAATCCAAAATATCTAAGTACTTCGTCTATGAATTTCCAAGTGACAGAAACGAAAGCCTTTTCAAAATCAACCATTAATAACATTCCAGGGATATCATTTTTCTCTGTATATTGCATAATGTCATAAACCAGGCGAGTATTTTCTCCTACATAACGTCCTGATATAAATCCTGTTTGATAAGAGTTTATAATTTTTTGTAAAACTAATTTGAATCTACTTGTTATTGATCCAGAAGCAATTTTGTGTATTAGACATCTGACCGTTTGAAAAAAACATAATTTAATGCCCTAACCACAAAATTACCTAACTGATTTCAAAAACATTTAAAAAAAATCCGATGTGAATCCATCTGAGCCTGGGCTCTTATTCTTTTCATATTCTTTAGTGCTTCAGATGCTTCTTTAAGTGTAATAATACCTTCCAAACTGACCGCTTCTTCAACATCTAATCTTGGAACATCAAAATCTTCTAAAAATTCATCCAGATCTATGTCATCGACTTCATTATCAATAGAATACAATTGTTCATAAGAAAATTTCACCTCATTTAATACATCTACTAGTTTAGTTAGAAATTCCCCATTCTCCCGTTGTAACTTTTGTCTATTTTCTAAATTAAAAAAATAATTGGTAGGTTTTTCACTCTCATCAATCCAAAAGGCTTTTGCACGTATTATACTCCCTTTTATCCTATGTACTCTAATCTTTTCCAATTCCTTTTTTCTCAAGTAACTTGTCTAAGTCTACATTATTCTCATTTTCCAGTTCCTGTAATTGATCTATTAAGGTCTTTTTCCTTGCACAACACTGCGATGAGCAACATAGTTTTATGCCAAAAAGGTCTACTGTTTCAAACCTTGCATGTTTCACTGATCAGATTTCCAAAGCCTTTGAAAAAAAAGTAGAATTACATGCTGTATATACTGATTTTTCAAAGGCATTTGACAAAGTAAACCACAGATTTTTATTTCATAAGTTAAAATTGTATGGTGTAGAAGGTAGCATTTTAGATTGGTTTACTACTTATTTGAAAGACAGATTCCAGCATGTTACAGTCAATGGGGCAACATCCGGTTGGTGTGATGTAACTTCCGGTGTGCCTCAAGGTTCGATACTTGGACCTAAACTTTTCCTTATTTTTATCAATGAACTGCCATCTATTGTGACTTTTTATAAAACTCTTATGTTTGCCGACGACAGCAAATTTTGTAAGTGTGTAAGGACGTTGTCTGAGTGTGAGCAGCTACAGAGCGATATAGATAAAGTGTATGATTGGTGCACTGTGTGGAAATTGAAAGTGAATGTGAAGAAGTGCTGCCATGTGATTTTTACAAACAAGAAGAAATGTATGAATTTTAATTACACTATGAACGGTGACAACCTGAAAAATGAATGGTGTGTGAAAGATCTTGTTGTTTGGCTGACCTCTTCAATGAGTTTTAGTACCCACAATAGACGTACTGTTTCCAAATCAATGCGAATGCTCGGTTTTATAAAACGTACATGTAAAAGTTTTGAACAAATACCTGTTTTAAGGTCTCTATATATAAGTCTTGTCAGGAGTCAGTTAGAATACTGTTGTCAGATCTGGTCTCCTTACCAAACATCTTCAATTCACCAGGTCGAAGTTGTCCAGTTTTTGAATTTTTTATGTTTTAAGGCACACGTTGACAACAATTCCATGTCTTACGCTGACACTTGTAGGCATTTTAATCTTCCTAGCCTCGAACATAGGCGGGCATTTATAGACTGTGTATTTCTTTACAAATGTGTTAATAGTGCTATTGATTGTCCATATTTAGTCAAGCAAATGTTTTGTTTGGTCCCTGGTCGTAATCTACGATCAATTCGTTTTAACTAGTTTTACTGCCAGAGAAGTAGAATAAACGTTAGAAAGTATAGTATTTTAAACAGGATTCAATGTAATTTTTACTATCTTGATTTTGCACCAGACTGTGATATGATTTGTTCCTCTCTCGCCGAGTTCAAAGTACGATTAAAAAATATTTGCTATCACTAATTCCTTTTGTTTTACATATGAGTATCTTTTAGTCTGTGTTACATGCATAACTGACTGTGATATTTTATACTTGTGTTGTAATGTTGTTATCCATTCTGTTAGTTGACCCTTGGGTCTGTTGAGTTGGAAATAAATAAATAAATAAGCTAGTAAATAACTGTTCGAAAACTAGTCAAAATTTAAAATTATATAATAAGCTGAGAATAATACATTTCAAAAACTGCACAACAAAGTGCATTGTATGATCAATTGCCAAACAAAACTGGTTTTTCTTTTAAACGTACAAAATGTTCAAATTTATAAAAACAATAGTGGCAAAAGTCAACACTGATTTTAAACATCGTTTAGACTAAATTGCTCGAATTTCAAAAAGCCTATACTTATTATATATTGTATTGGGAAGAAGTTATAAAAGGCAGCTAACCATTTAGTTTAATTTATACGAGTCACGTTAATTGATGGTAAATTAGTGATTATTAATTAATAATAATTTATTAAAAATGTTTCAATCTTTAAACAGATTGATTATAGAGACCATAACATTTCGGGTTCAATAATTCTGAAGCCTTATCTAAACCAGTAATGCACACATTTCTTCAGCAAATCAATTATACATATAACTGGACCCCAGCTAATTAAATCTTTCCCAAAAGACCCCTTGTGAACCGCTGTTTGCTCTAGGTACATCAAATGTTTCAGTACCAATATTGAATAAATCTTGGGGATTTCAATAAATGTATATCAAGTTACACGTAGTATTTCAAAGACGTGTTTATTTTTAATTGTTTGGACCTCCGAACGTGAAAAAAATTACAGTTTGGTGTTTTGTAATGCCAATACAACAAAATTGAACTCTGAACTGATTGATGTTATATTTAAAATTATGTAGCATATTTAAAGGTTTTTAATGATTGATTGTTTAAAACATTTTGATATATTGACTATAACTAATCGAACAAAGTATAAAGTAACCTTTTAACTAAAATGTCACTTATATTGCATACATTGTAATAAAAATTAAAACATTTCTGAAGCAGAGGGTAAAATAAATTAAACCTTAATACCTAAACCAGCACTTGTATTATACATTTATTGTATTATATGACATCGTACGTTACAAACATATTGGTTCTTACAGAACCCCAATACTGACAAATTTTATACAGGTTACCTTAACACTTCCAGAGGTTTGACGTTTCTGTTGAAGGTCCTTATTTATGATCAGTAGTGATACATAATATAGAGTTTAGAACAGACGGTGTTAATATCTATTTTCTCAAGTAAGCTATTCGCCACGAACTCATTATTTACCTTCTGGTGGTGAAGTCTTTGTCTCAGTCCCTGGAATGTCAACATTGTCCAATTGGCGTCCGGTGTTGTCCCATTAAAATTCGACAGTCCAATGTTGTGAAAAAACACTTTGGAGCTCCGTCGATAGCTGGGTGTGTTCATGCTTCAAAACAGAAATCAATAACTCTAACCATATTTTAAATATTCACTAGAAATACTCAGTAAGAAATCACCTTTAAAAAAACAAAAGCTATTGTTGGATATGTAAACGTCAGGCCTCAAACATCCAGTCACATACACATGCAAAACCGAAGTTGCAGAATTACCGAACAATTTTAAAAAGAAAAAAAGGTTGTAAAGTGAGGCAACGGGCTTGTTGTAGCTATATTTGGGATGCTTGACTATATCCGATATTTTATCATTTAGATTATAAAGTAAAAAAAAATAAAGATAAATGGAAAAAAAAGTTGAGCTAATCTCTACCTCGGGTCGAACGAATGAACCGTGCATCCCCACTCTTCAGAGATTTGATCGTCAAAACTGAAGTCGAAATCAATTCTGAAAAGATACAAGTGAGATGACCTTTGTTATTGTTCAGATATTTGGGGCTGATATTTTACGACACAGAGAAAATATATGGCATATGCGTGTTTCAGACATTTAAATCACATTTATTGATATATTAACAATAATACAGATAACTATGGTTGTAATATAACACTGTTTCCAGGGTGTTTTTTTTTATCGCATATGGAATAGCGAAGCGACCTCCTGTGTCCTTTACATCAGATAAATCAGGCTTGTGACGAATGAGTTGTGAGATAGATACAGTCTTGCGGAAATGTACAGTCAATTACCTTGCCTTTGTTCATGTATAGTATTAACGTATTGATGTTAATTCTATTTGTTTGTTTATCATCAGTGTCTAGTGTAAGCATATGTGTAGTGTATGTGATGTATATGTGTCTACCTGATAGAAATGTAAGTGAATGTGTATGTATTGTACCCGAGATCTGCAGTTTAACTACCCATTTTTTAAATGCATTTCATTTTTTATTTAACTTATTTTTTCAACTGAAATCTACTCAACTTCTGAGAGAACCAATAATAGTAGATATTTTTTATGGTAATGTCAAATAACATTAAAATAGCATCTGCAAACTGTAGAGGCTTAGGGCAGAAGGAGAAAAGAAAAGATATATTTAATTATTTAAAAAAGTACTATAAAGATTATATGTCTTCAAGACACACATTTTACAAAAGAACAGGAAAGGGAAATAGCTATTTTAGCTCTCACAGAAACAATTCAAGGGGAGTTTGCATATTTTTTAATAATAATTTTGAATTTGAGATTCACAGTAAATGGAAAGACACAGAAGGAAATGTAATAGCCCTTGATATAAGCATTGAAAAAGATAGATTTTCATTAATTAATTTATATGGTCCCAATAAAGATGATCCAGATTTTTATGAAAAAAAATATATAAGCAGATTATTAATTTTAGCAATCCTTGTTGCATAATTTGTGGTGACTTCAACTTGGTTTTAGATCAGGAAAAAGACACAAACAATTATGTAAATATAAACAACCCAAATGCCCGTACAAGACTTCTTAAACTGATTGAGGAAATAAATTTAATTGACCCATTTAGAATTTTTTATCCTACTTATAAAAGATATAAATGGCCGAAGAAAAACTATATAAAACAAGCTAGCTTGGACTTCTTCCTCACCTCAGAAAATATTTTAAACTATATTGAGAAGGTTAATATTTTTGTTGGTTACAGATCAGACCATTCTATAATATCACTAGAAATTAAATTAAATAACTTTGTAAAAAAAAAAGAACGGGACAAAAGGGAAAAAGTACTAATATCTGATCTAGGAAAATTAGAAGAAAATAATACATTGGCTACTAATTTAGATGAATACGAACAGAAAACAAACGAGCTAGAGAATATTAGAAAAATAAAAATGAAAGGGCATATGATAAGATCAAAAGTAACTTGGCTGGAAGAAGGGGAAAAACCATCAAAATATTTTTGCAACTTAGAAACACACAATTATGTTAATAAAACTATTGTTAAAGTTGAAAAAGAAAATGGGGAAATCATAACTAGTCAAGATGAAATTCTTAGGGAAATACAAAACTTCTACAAACAATTATATGCTGACCATGCGGATAATATTGAAGATGTTGATTTAGACAGCCTTTTAGATGGTTTAGAATATGTAAAATTAACAGACAATCAACGTGTAAATTTTGAAGACGAATTATCAGAAACAGAATTACTATTTGCATTAAAAAATATGAAAAACTGTAAATCCCCCGGTTCTGATGGTTTTACTACTGGTTTTTTTTTTTTTTTTGGAATAATTTTAAATATTTTATTATCAGAGCATTGGATTTTGGTTATAATAAGGGGGGGTTATCCATTACCCAAAGACAGGGTATTATCACCTCTATTCCAAAAGGAGATAAAGTTAGACATTTTATTAAAAATTGGAGGCCTATTACTTTATTAAATGTTATATATAAACTTGCTTCAGCTTGTATAGCCAACAGACTAAAAACGGTTCTTAATTTTATTATTTCAGACACACAAACAGGTTTTTCAAGTGGAAGATATATTGGGGAAAACACCAGACTTATTTACGACATTATGAATTTTACTGAAATAAACAACATACCAGGACTTTTAATATTTATAGATTTCGAAAAAGCCTTTGATTCAGTTTCATGGAATTTTTTATACAAAGTAGTTGATTTTTTTAATTTTGGTGAAAGCATTAGAGAATGGATAAAAACATTATACAAAAATACCTACTCTGCAATAAGCCAAAATTGTATACTGTCAATCTTTTTTGATATACAAAGGGGTTGTCGCCAAGAGGATCCTGTCTCCCCATATCTATTTTTACTTGTAGTTGAAATATTGGCTATTCTTATAAAAAAACAATAAAAATATCAAGGGCATTACAATCCAACAGAAAGATCATAAGCTCTCACAGTTTGTAGATGATACCTCAATAATTGAAGATGGATCTAGAAACTCATTCAACGAAGCACTGAATGTTTTAGATTGCTTTGGTAAAATATCGGGACTAAAAGTAAATAATGATAAAACCAAGTTGATTTGAATTGGCAGCAAGAAATTCAGTGCAGACGTTTACCATCATAGATGGAAACTAAAATGGGGAGAAACAAAATTTAATATGCTAGGGGTTTATTTTTCAGTTAATCTAGATGAGGTTGTAATTTGAATTATACCACAGTTAATAAAAGTATAAACCAGTGGTCACGCAGAATTTTAACACCTCTTGGTCGGATAGTTGTATTAAAATCAATCATTATACCAAAATTTAATCATCTATTCATATCTGTTCCTACACCCGACAATAATTTTATTCAACAGTTGAACACTACTTTTTTCAATTTTATTTGGCAATCACCAGTCGACAAAATTAAGAGAGACACTATAGTCAAAAGCTATGAAAATGGAGGTCTGAAAATGATTAATATCAGGAGTTTTATAAAGAGCCTTAAGTCTTCATGTATAAGAAGATTACTTAAGAATAATGATAAATTTGGACAAATATTTTTGAAGCAGAACATTTTCCCACCATCAACATATCAGATTTTGATAAAAAAAAAATAAGACCAAAATTGATCAAAGTATATGCCAATCAATTAAGCAAAGATATAGACAATTTAACTTTAATTTAACTGCTGAAAACATTGTTGAAAGACCATTTATACCACACCATATCAATGTAATTAAGAAAAGCAATAAAGGTTGTAAGACATGTATGTTACCCTGAATAATAAAAAGAAATGTGCGAATACAGCTGAAATAAAATGGAAATCAAAAGAAAGTTTTAGAAACATAGACTGGAAACGACGATTGTATAGCATTCCTTTTAAAAGTACAACGGTACAACACTAAAGTGGTTCCAGTATTGGTTACAAAATCGCATTCTCCCACTAAATAATTACTTGAAAACTATTGGTGTTTTGAATAATAACCTTTGTAATATGTGTAACACAGAAACTGAAACTATAGAACATATTTTCTGGGAATGTCCTCATTCTTTCAGACTTTGGCAAGATTTGAAAAACAAAATATACCACAACTTAGATAAATTAATCGATTTTAGATTAGAAACAGTATTGTTTGTAGAGACAGAAAATGTTGCCTTACCAATTAACTTTATTATCCTTTATGCAAAATATTATATATACACTGTATCAATAAAAAAAAACCAGACTCAGGTTAGATGGTTTGATTGAGTTTCTAGCATTCCGATATAACATCGAAAAAAATTCAGCCTCAAAACATTTACGCAACAAAACATTTTATCAAATATGGTTTGAATGGAAAGATATTTTTTAACAGATTGAAAAAACAAGTTAACACAATCTATACATCTTTGTATCTTTGTTTATATAATTAATACTCTTTCTCTTGAAATGAATATTTAAATTTTATCTTGATTTTGTGGTGAAATACTGTAATACTGTAATCTGATAAAAAAAATAAAACTGTATATATCCGGTATGTTATGGTGTGAGTGGATGTATGTGCTGTTTTTTGTTTGTTTTGTTTTATAATTACCTTTTTAGCGGTCATAAAAACCTGTATGAAACCGGTTTTAAAATTGATGTCAGTATATGTCCATATACTTCATTTTATAATCAAATTCATACACATGTGTATATATATATATATGTACATCTGACACTGTTTGCACAGTGTATTTATTATTGTTTCTTAACTGCTTGAAATTATGCGTGCATAATGATGCATCTGATTCAATGTTTGTAAGTCTGTCTCAATGTATACATGTATGTATGTACTGTCTGTCTGTGTGTCTGTCTGTGTGTCTGTCTGTCTGTCTGTCTCATGTACATATGTATGTGTGTATGAGTATATATGTGGATGTATTTGTATGAGTATTATGTTTTTTTGTGTATACTAGACATGCTATATGTTTATCCTTGTTTGTAATATTATGTTGTATATGGAATTTGTTAGGGTGTGAAAGAAGTATGTTTTGTGTTCTTGTCCTGTACTCTATTTGCAAATATTTTATTTTCCCATTGCCCTTCCTATTTATTTATTTATTGTTTGACTTATGGATATTGAATGAGAACCCTCCTGCGTGAGGACACCATATTGTTCAGGGGCTGACTCCAAGGCTCCCCAACCCTGGCATCCCCTATCAAAATATTTATATATGTATATATATATATCTGCTTCGAAGCAGTATATGTATATACATATTTATGAAAAAAATGGTTAAGGGAATAAAATATTTGTAAAAAAAACACCTAAGCCAAACTTGAATGTGATTATATGCTGTTCTTTTATCAATCAGCATGAGGGTAGTAATGTAGCAATGTTTGATTTATATTTCAGAACAATATGAGTGTTAGTAAAGGTATTGGGTACTTATCTAAACCAAATAATGTTGTTTATCACATAACTGACCCTTGTTACTATGACATACGGCCATGTCATAAATATGGTATTACACACGTGTAATAAAACCTACAGGTGCTGTGATTGGTCAAAACCGTGAAAACATATACCTACGCCACTATAGGTACTGCTTTTATTCGTTTTACCACATGATACATTTACTGTTATTTAAAATGGATTTAAAATGTTTATTTTATCATTATTATTGTCATTACATTTAAAACTTTTCATTATTTTTAAAAATCAATCTGGCACGACTTTGTATAACGCAGAACAACAATACTTTGATCAGAGTACTTTGGTTTTGACCTATTTATAGTCAGCTGATAATACATAATCATATCTGAATATTTATTTTCTTCAAATAACGAATGTTATGTGATAAATAGAATCTTACATTCGTGTCCATGTCATATTATTTATTAACCTCGTTCAATACATTGATATGACATGGACACTCATGTAAGATCCTCTATTTATTATTCAATGTGAGTGTAATTATGTGGTATTATTGTATCAGTATTTATCAGTTCAAGAGGGTTTAAAATATATTGATAGTTATAATCAAATTAAACGCGGTTTAAACGGATGACGTCTGATTGCTGTTAGAATTTGTGTTGAGTCGTGTTAATAAATTGTTTTCAAACAGTTGAGGAATGAAGGACATAAAATGGTATACTTGCTGAGTGGTGCAGTTTATCATAAATATATTGAAAATGTATTTAAAAAAAATTGACTTCGATTGCTTCAGGTCTAAAGGAGCACATGAACTGTTTATCTCCAGTGCTATACAATTATTCATGATGTTAAGGTATTATATTTTATAGATGATATAGACCTGTCAGGGCTCATTAATTTCTCGTTGATCAACACTTCTATAGCGAAGGTCGCTGCCTCTACAATGAACACCTCTTTAAAAGCTAGATAATTTATGTTGAGATAGCTTTGTCAAGAAATACGTAATAAAAATAAACACTAGATTTATTAAAATTTTGTTATGATCTTATAGCTTGAAGATTTAACGCTCAGTAATTTAAAATGCATGCCGTAATTAAATCTGAACATCATTGTTACTGCGGGAATCTGATGGTAATCCGACCCCCGAAAAAGAGCACATATGAACACTAACCCAAATGAATACACCAGACAATTATTTTTTTGTACAAGGTTCTTCTCCAAACAAACATCCCATCCGCCGTCATTGACCTTCCCAAAGCGCTTCAGGTGACCACAGATAGTCTGGATGTTGTTGAAATACCTTTAATAAATATAAAAGAAGTAAACTCACTCTTCATTGAAACAACCACGTTGAGTAGGTACAAATATATTATTCCTCTGCGGTTAGCTACCAGTTTAACAAATGTAATTATCGTAAGTATAAGCAATGTATTTTATTTTATTTTTATGTTTATTTGAAAAACATTGTTTGCCTTTTAGGATAGTTTATCCTCCCAACAGTTATGGTCTTATGAAGACTTTTTACACAAATGATGGATCCATTCAAGGCCCATATAAGAGCATCCTCTCACTGAAATATTGACGTCCATGTGATGTTCCACCCTGTCAAATTATTTATTATCAAATTATCGTAAGTATAAGCAATTTATTTTATTTTATTTTTATGTTTATTTGAAAAACATTGTTTGCCTTTTAGGATAATTTATCCTCCCAACAGTTATGGTCTTATGAAGACTTTTTACACAAATGATGGATCCATTCAAGGCCCATATAAGAGCATCCTTTCACTGAAATATTGGCGTCCATGTGATGTTCCACCCTGTCAAATTATTCTAACAGTGGGCTAACTAGCGGTGCCGAGGTTTGGTTAACAGTACAGAAAGAAAAAGTATGTAAGAAGGGAAACAGATGTCCCAAATAAAATGTTATCTCTTCTGTTTCCCCAAGAAGAGTTCATAGAAGACCTCCCCAACCCCAACCCCTAACCCAACGAGTCTGCAGTGTACTCTATATAAGTCACCTCTAACGATCATGTAGCTGAAAACAGCAGGTCACATTCTTTTAAAATGTCCTGAAACTTTTAGAGTTCAATCAGGTTGATTTTTGCTCCTCTTTCCAGTTTACTGTTAACAAAATGATCTTATTCGTTAAAGTGTCAAATCTAATTTGTTCTATTCAAATAAACACTAAAACAAATTATGAACCAATTAAGCTGCTATAATGGACTGTTTTTCAGCTTAATTAATAGACTACTTAATGAACCATGATTCATGTCCTCTCTTAGTAACGACATTATCCCACCTTTTCATTATATAATTTTCCTTTACACTTGGACCTGGCAACCTTTCAAATTCAAGTGGAGACAGTACAGGGTGTAAATGATATAACGTGAAATATAAGCGGTCTCAATAATACCAATAGTCAACGTCAAACTATTTTTCTCAATTGGATGTATACGTATAACAAATCTGGTAGTAAATGTGACATTTATGACGTTTACCATGCGTAGGTACGTTCTATTTGAGGAACAGGTAACGAACAAAGGTGTGTATGGCTTGGTAGCTGATGTTCCATTGTCAAGTTTTCCTGCTGTATAGAGTCTGCTGGTGGATTTCTACATATCCTCTTTAGTGTGAAGTCCCATTTCTGAGAGAGATAAAAACAACAAATAAGTAAAGGGGGTGCAGAAAAATCACGTTCACACTTGCTTTGCTTTGTATGTGAAGAAATAAAACATACGGTTTATAAACTGCAATAATGATATCGTGTTATTTAGATTAAAAACTCATAAATTAATAGTACGTGTGAAGGGCATGTATATGACCTATTAGCATATATATATGCATATGTGAGTCTACTTGTTGTTAGCATAATAATCTGATTTAACTTTTAAAATACAGCGAATCATTCAAAATCAGGGTAACTATACACTTCATTTGTATAAACCCATATTCCATAGACCTGGTATGTTATGAGACGTTCAACTTCATACACAAACTTAAAGAATTAAAGGTACGCGAGAAATATAAAAGAGGTATTGTCAGCAATTCCCGTTTGGTGAATCATTCATTCGTGACCGAGCTAGCAGGGGCGACGAAGAATTGTTTGGAGCTATATGTACGGGTTTTTCTAAAGCTCACCAAAATTCTTTAATCTTTAAAATACTGCGAGCGTATAACATGACCTAACACGCCATACGGCTTATGAACGGTTATTCGTCAAAACGTAAGCATACATATATATTTATTTATTTCAATTCAACAGACCATAGGGTCCAACAAAAGAATTGATAAACACATGTATTTATGTTTATATAATACAGTTACAGCATCAGATATCATAAGATATCAGCAATAAACACAATTAAAACTGTTGTTTCTTAAAATTTGACAGAGTGCCTAATTATAAGTGTCCATGATGAGGTTAAATATCTGTCAACTTGGCAAAGTCTGAAACTTCCGTAACAGACTTTAAAAAGCTCGCTATCATCAGCAAACATTAACGTGTAAGAATATTTTAAACAGATAGCAGATCGTTGATAAAAAGTAAAAATAGTTTTAGACCAAAAATTGAACCCTGTGGAACCCAGAAAGTTACATAGCACCAACTGGAAGTTGCACCGTTTATCAAAATGCAGTGTTGCCTTTTTCATAGGTAGGTATAGAACCAGTTTTTAAAATTATCTTGAATCCCATATGCTTTTATTTTATGTAAAAGTAATGTATGACTAACCTGGTCAAATGTCTTCGAAAAAATTGTATATATGGCATGAAATTCAAATTCCTTTGAAAGAAAATCAGTAAAACAGGCTAGATTTGTGACGGTTGATGTTTTTGACATAAAATCATGCTGTTGACCATTCTGTTAATTTCTGGGAAAATGCCACATCTGAGAGAATGATTAAAAAGATAACAAATTGGAAAGCACAGATCATATGAACAGATTTTAAAAATGGTGCCTGATATATTATTGTTACCACATAATAATAATAAAGGCTTTATTTATTCTTGATAACATATTGAGCATGAAGCTCATCTTGCACATGGTCAAGATACAATATATGGTAAAAATGTACAATAATTACAGCTTTAAGAATGATACATGTATAAAATAGAGGATAAGGGAGGAAATCATAAATCATTTCAAGTAAATTTGCTTTGCAGATCTCTAAAATTCTAAAAATGAAGTACAATTTGTAATGTGACTTGGTAAAAGATTCCATGTAAGGGGTCCCTGATATCTAAAAGATTTTCTAAAAATGTCTGTATTATGACATGGCAAGTAAAACACATTGGTAGATGATAATCTTGTAGTTCTACCCTGAACATCAGACATATACGTAAAATCATTCAAATTTTGTGGAGCTAAATTGTTAAGTATCTTGTAAATAAAAACTACTTGATTGTATAACATTATTTTGTGAAAAGGCAACCAATTTAGTTTTTTGAACATATCACAGGAAGGTGTGGGAAAATCAAATTTTAAAATAATTCTGGCTGCTCTCTTTTGCAGGCGTTCTAATTTTACAATAGTATTTTTTGAACTGTTACCCCAAACAGTTGAGCAATAATTCAGATGTGGGTTAATAAAGCAGTTAAAAAAGGTCATACAAGATGACTGACTCAAGAAGGGTCTCAACTTTTTCATCTGAAAAATTTGACATGATATCTTTTTACAGACATTTGTAAAATGAATGTTCCAAGAGAGATAATCATCTATGGACACTCCCAAAAGTTTTTCACATTTTACATTTTCAATGTTTATATTGTTCGATCAAGTTTAATAAAAGTGCTTTATGGTCATCGGTACATTTGATCGTAACATCACACAATTGATCGGTAATACTAGTGTTGGACTGGACATCTGGCAGCTTATTACTACCATTTTTGTTGAACGAAATAATTAAAATGTTCGCTACATCCACAGGATTTGACGAGGACGTAACAGAGTCAGATATAGTCATGGGTATGGTTTCTTCTTGAAAAATGGGAAACGCGTTCACTATTTATAAAAATATTTTAAAGGGAATTCCTCCGAGGCTTTAGGTTGGTCCTCAGCTATGTGGATATTTTTTTGATGATTATTCCAATGACCAACTTTTGCAATTTATACAGATGACAAAACTCTTTTAGTGCCAATCATTGCTACCAGCCATATCGATTTGTCCCCAAAACAGCATTTCAAATTCAAAATCAATAAATTCTTTGGTAAAACATGAGCAATGGAACAAATCACATGTTGTCTTTAAAAAAGTACAACGATAATTAGTCCGAGTGTTCTAGAAGGATAACCGTCTTCTCCTTTATCAACGTCAGGTGTCATTTAACTTTAGGCTCATAGGTAATATAACATTCTCAAACTGAGAAAAAAAGAATTGACAACAAAACAACTGAACACTGTATAAAATGACGTAAAATATCGGATTTCAACCAACTGCCGAAATTGTTCGACAAATAATAGCTAAATGGTGAAGTTAGTTTATAATTATATTGCAATGAGCGTTGCAAAGAACGGGAAAAACGGCTGACCAAAGGAAGAGTGGACACGCGATAATAGGACTAAAACAACACCAGACATCTATAGAGTAGACATACATATAAGTGCATGCACAAACATATGTTTACTACACACGTGTCAAACCTTACCGGTCGGGAGAAGATCCGTTTAGGAACAATTAACGGAGCTCCAATCACAGGTGCGGGAGTTAACGGTGCTGGTATTTCAGTATTTAGCATCCATGCGGATGTTAACACCACAAACATTCCCACAAAGAAGACGATTAAAGCATGTTTGATAGTTATCATACAGCATCTCCGCTGGAACTTTCTGACACCCCTATAAAACATGAAGAGCGATCTTTAGATAGACTAACCACGACAACACACTGTCTGGTCCTCACTGAGTGGTAGGCGTTCGTCACATGTCGTTTCAATTATATCTTCCGAATGTCATTGGCTCCCTATAGTCATACACAACCATCCGGTATTGCTAATATAATGCTAACATACACTTATCGGTGAAAACGCCGGTAAAGACGATATCGATCATCTCTTTGTGACATGGATGAACATACACGCAAAGATTTTAATTTGCATATCAATGGTTCACTTTTTTTCAGGCAGACAAACAAAAATACAGTATGAAGTTACATCAATCAAAAATCTGTATCCGGCCACCGGTTAGTAGATTTGGTTAGTGTACTATAACGGAATAACCTAGAGACAAACTTGAAAAAGGGCGAGTATTTTTGACACCTTCTATTGCGGTTTAAAAGTGATGTATTTGTTCATAAAAGATCGGATTTAAAGAAACAAATTTTTATTTATTTATACGGTTCTTACTTTTTGTCAGTTGATAATATAACAAAGTACAAGCATAAATTAAAGGTGAAAAAGAATGACAGAAGAACACGTGACTTAAATGTAACCAAGAGAGATCGAAATAGAAAAAAACGAGGGCATGATTACATGTATTTCAAAGTATTTTTTAATATTGGCAGTTAATTACTTGTGATTTTAATGGTGTTTGAATGCAAAGAAGTCTCTTTACAAAATTGAAATGTTGATTTTATCGCCCTCAGATTAAATTTGAATGTTCATGTTTTCTTTTCAAATGTGCCCAGATTGTTGATTCGGATGGGATCGACGTGATATATCGGAGAATGAAATCGCTTGTCGTTTAGCCGTCTTGGGGTGTTCTGCGTAAAACACTGTTATTGCAACCTATAACTTCGGAACAAATTATTTTCTACCCTTAATGTTTTGCAATGATTTCGACCGACCAATTATTGGGAGGCCAGAGCTGGAACATTGTCCTGAAATAAGCAGCACAATATTATTTATGTTCTGATAGGTTTCTGATAGATAACAAGGAACCACAACTACCAAAGGTATCAAAGCATGTGGAGGCAGAGTAAGTGATAACTAAACATGATGAGGTCTTTAAAACCCTTAGCTGTAGCAGATTGAAGGTAAGTTACTCAAGCTAATTTTAGGTATGTGCTGACGAAAGATCAAACAAATGCATTTACTTGAGTACTTAAAAGATATTAGATTCCATGTGGAACAGAAAAGAGCGACTTTACGCGAAAAATCAACATGGGACATTCTGACAGGTAAGGAAAGTAAATAGTTGACAACAATTTGTTGATGTTATAATTGATTTATAGTGTAAATCCAGTGGATGTGTTGGGATTTTAATTAAGAATTGTCAATATTTAGTTATTCGTGCACGTGAAAACATAAAACATGTATACAATGATATTTATGAAGAATGGCTTCACCTGTATTTATAACTTCGAGAACAGTTGTTGTGCTTGTCATTATATAGACATAAGTATCTTAATATTGCTGTCTTTCTTGAAAAACACAGTTTGCTTTCAAATATATATCTTGTTGTACTAGGTGGCATAAGAGGCATAGGACTTGATGTGAATAGCATGTGTTCGAATACGGATAGCTTTCATACGTTTAGGTCTAGCCTAGCGATATTGAAAGTGGCAAGGTGAATGTCATGTTTTTCTCATCAATCTGTCATTTGATCTGTCGTCGTTTTGCCTTCTACGTCCAGTGTCTCCTGACCTATAAGTCCCTTGGATTGTATTGTGAGTAGCGGTTTCCAATATTATTTGCAGCATCTATACATCAACGTTTCCACTAGTTATGTCACTTAATTAACAATAAAGTACATAACAATTTTTAGTCAATTGACCCAGGATAAACAACACAACTGCCAATATAACAACGAATAAATTAGTGTGGTCTAAATTTGGCAAAACGAAAGGGGCACTGGCCTCCCTAGTAACCCAATTTGTCAAAGGTTATTTTAAGCTACCTGTTCCCAAAATATCATACTGTAGCTCTTTAACGATAAAGCGGAAACTTTGAAATTGAATGCGCTATAGCCACTGTTATTTGTTTGTATTCATCACATATATCCCTCAAGGTACATATAAGTTTGGGTTGATTTTAACTTTTATTTGTCCGGTAAATCACCGAAATGTAATAGCGTTATATTTTATACCGTTTTTGTTTTTAAACAACTCTACACATTACACGAAACAGCACCCACAACACATGATGTATCCCATACACCATATGCTACATTTCTCTTTCAATGTTACCATCATTTTAGCTGGTATTTACCTAGTACTCATCTTATAACCATTTTTCTGACAGCTGGAACTTTGGGTGCTGACTGTAAAGTACGATTCCTCAGAAACAACTTGCTGATGTTAAAGCCCTCTATTGTTGACGGATAGTACTGTCTACCCGGATGGTGAAAGAGAAATACCGTGTCTCCGTGCTTTTCTGGACAACTAAGCTTCTATACATAGCTTCAATAGCATTCTTGCACGTGTAACTGTTCTTTTCTGATGCTATGAGCATTCATGATGCCGGCAACAGTATCATATGCAAAAGAGACTTTTTGCTTTGTAAGTTAAGTGTTACAAAAAAATATTATGTAAACAAACGACTTTTTATATAGAGAATACCACTGTGCACACGTTAAACAACATCATATTAACAATATTGGTTATTGTTTACTAATTCACAAATATTCTTGATACACGTGTTAAATTTATCAAGAGTTCAAAATGTACGAACACGATAGCCCTGGAATTAAATCACTTTAAAAGGCTCCTTAATTTGTTAAACATGGACAAAGGAAAGGGAGCTAGCTCGTACAAGCTTATAATTATTTGACATAAATTATCGTATACCATATTAAAGGCATGCAGTGTCCATGTGGTTAACGAAACGGAAAAAACACAGGGGTGTTCATTTTTAACCTTTTGATTTGATTGTTTCTCCCTTACCACTGTAATCTGTATATTAATGTGTCGATTCCCATGCATATCAATCGGAAGGCAAACTGATATAAAACATTAATTGATTTGATATTAAAGTCGCTCCAAAAAGAGCTTGCATGAGTAAGCTCCCTTGGTCCACGTTAACCCATGAAATTAAAAAGCATAAGCTATTAGTTTATGAATGGATTCAATCTTTTCAAAATTTATTTTGTTTTTCAATAGGCTGAATATTTACACTCAGAACACTTTTATTGATTATGTTTCCCAATCCTTTTGACAATATCGCATGATCTAATTTTGTTTAACACACAATAACTAGAACGGAAGAGAATGGGCTTGCTGACAGTATAGTACATTGACATTTTGACTATCCCTGTCCCAATGCAGCCTAAACACTAGGTAATGACACAGAGGTTTGGAGTAGATATGCTGTAACTTATCTTTCATTTCGTTTTAGATGTAACTGTAGCGCAATGTTAGTTCGATTCCTGGGCCAGTATTCATAAAACCGTTCTCATACTCAAGCATGGGTTTTGTGCTCAAACCAACTGTCTTGTAACTCACTTAAATCATGTCAAACGATCAAAAAGTGAAATGTAAACATTGAAAAAGTTTTTCCAAATCATTGGCAATTTAAAGTTTATTATTAATGTATAACTGGAACAAGAAATTAGGCTTGAGCACAAAATCCATGCTTGAGCAGGAGAACGGTTTCCTGAATACGGGCCCTGGTCTGACCACGCTGAATATTTACACTCAGAACACTTTTATTGATTATGTTTGGTTTAACTATTATCTGTCTAGTCTACAAAAGTCCCGCAAGGTACTTTTTTTCAGAAAATAAATATCAAAGCTATATTAGTGCCGAAATCATCACCTTCCTATACATAGTTACAGTTTTTGGCAAAGGTATACATGTGGATCCTTAACTGAATTGCATGAAGAAAATCGTCTTGTGGCTTTTCTAAATAAGTGTGCGTTTTAGCGTATTTTGTCTTCAAACTAGTTTGTATCGTTAAAGTCGATCAATAAAGTTAAATTTGAGTCAAATAGATGGGAATATCATGTACTATATTGACATTTTGCCGCTGTCAAAGAAATAATTGCGTGAGATTCCAGGATATATACAACTAAGCAACTAGAGAACAAGCAAGACATTTCATTGGTTAAGAAAGACTTTGTTACTGGGTATGTTGACCACAATACACAATAAACCGTCAACAACTTCGTGACGTCATTTACAAATCAACGAAGGCGAAAAAAGGCCCACAGAAAGGGAGGGTTTTCGTCCTAGTTAAGTGAAAAAAGGCCCACAGAAAGGGAGGGTTTCCGTCCTAGTTAAGTGAAAAAAGGCCCACAGAAAGGGAGCGTTTCCGTCTTAGTTAAGTGAAAAAATGCCCACAGAAAGGGAGCGTTTCCGTCCTAGTTAAGTGAAAAAAGGCCCATAGAAAGGGAGCGTTTCCGTCCTAGTTAAGTGAAAAAAGGCCCACAGAAAGGGAGCGTTTCCATCATGGTCAAGTGAAAAAAGGCCCACAGAAGGGGAGCGTTTCCGTCCTAGTTAAGTGAAAAAAGGCCAAGAGAAAAGGAGCGTTTCCGTCCTAGTTAAGTGAAAAAAGGCCCACAGAAAGGGAGCGTTTCCGTCCTAGTTAAGTGAAAAAAGGCCCACAGAAAGGGAGCGTTTCCGTC